GGTTGCCTTTTTCCTATGCGTATCTCTCTCTCTCTTTTTTCTTTTTTTTCCGTTCCTTTAACCCTTTACCTTGCTGGCGACGGAGGAGGCATACTTAGGCCGCCGCTTATCATGTGATAGGGAAAATATCTACCCAACCGCCCTCCTCACACCGCCAGAGTGATGCATGAACGTCTTAGAGAGGGCAACATGGAGGCGACAGGGTGGCATTCGCCCGATAAGCCTTCCAGGGCGTCTCTTTCTGCCCGCATCCTTCGCCGTGTCGACCGGTGGTTTGTACCTCCAAGTTCGTTGTGTGGGACGCAGCATTCACCCGTTGTAGATGCATCTGAAACATGCTTAGACCGCTATCAATCAAGTCGTTCAAAGGCGAAGAGGGAGAAGCACTAAAGTAACTGCCTCGCTGTAAGATCGTCCAAAGTGCCAGGCTAAGTTGCTAGATGTAACGGCAACCGGGCTGGCTGTTGATTGTTGGCAAGTCAGTACACGGTATAGTGATGTAGATATATCAAAACAGGGTGTCCTGCGAGTGGGGGGATGAGCTGTTTGCATGAGCCCCGGAGACGCAGTCAAGGAGCCAGTTGGCAGTCGGCGATGTGCCCGATCCCTGACAAAACTTGCATAAGGTAGCACTTTTATATCTTCCGCTGCAAATCGCGAACTTCTGTCTCGCTTGCTGGTGCCGGGCAGCCTTCCATGATGCTGCTTTGGCTTTGTAGAGCTACCGACCCGGCGGATGGACAGGAGCCAGCTCCGGTCAGGTGTGCTCAGGCGAATTTATGGCTTATGAGTATGCACATGCGCAAGGATGATGTCTTCTCCGCTGGCAGCTTGTCCATCCCAACGGTTTGCACCAGCCTCCTTTCTTGTTATTATTATTTTATATCCATCGTCGGCCCTTTTTTGTCTCTTTCGTTGTTTGTTGTTGTTGCTTTTTTTTCTTTTCTTTTTTCTGTCTGATGTTGATATCTACACGTGACAAAGGCTTGGCATATATATTATTACGTAATAAAATGACGTCCAAAAATAGTTTAACTCCGACGAGCCGAAAGTCGAACCTCCAACAAACCGACAGGCGAGCATCACCAGAGGACGAATAGCAGAAGACACGGCGTATAACATGCGGAGCCTGTGTTAACCTCCTGCTACACGATATGTCTACTCAGGACCTGGCCAGCGATCCTAAATTCACCGTCTTCATTCGCCTACCGTTCCCGCGAGGCGACTTCGTTGATCCGCCGCCAGTGAGTTTCAGCGTCCATAGATCTATAGCTATAGGGCGCATGCTATGGCTGTTGGCTCGACTGCCCCAGGCACTGACATGCTTGATATAGGTGAACTGGGATACCGCCAATGATAGAATACTGTGGGATGTTTTATCCGCAGCCCCTAAAGAAGGAGTAGACTGTAAGTTGCAGATGCTAATACTGCCATGATCATTCGTCCCCCGTCGATTTGTGATATATAGGCTAACACTAGTGCGCAGGGAAAGCTCTGTATGCGACACAGTAATACGCCCTCTTGAGAGTGCTTTAGCTAATCAACGGTTCCCTAGCGCGGAGAAGTTCAATATCACCCTTCCATTCTTGCTCCAACATGTTGCCTGGCTATACGATCGACGGCTTTCTCAGGTGAGGGCGCAGTTTCGGAGAGTCGGGCAACAGAATCCCCTTTCTGGGCAGGCTACGTCTGCCGGTGGAGGGACTCCTGGAGGTAGTGTACCTATGAATAGATCTGGTAGTGACGGTATGGTCCATATGCAAACATTAGCTGTTGATGTTGATGTCGATATCTAGCTAAACAAACCTCCCTGAACAGGATCTCGCATACAATCTAGGTTGTTTGCGCTTCAGCAAGATATTTCAGCAACCAGGGCAGATAATAGCAGCCCTCAGACTCCCAATATATCCCAGGGTCGGTTATATGCTAGCCTCTTAATAAAGACATTGGTCGATATTCATACCGTTTAATAGGTCCGAATTTTCCCCGTCCAGTTTCTGTCAGAAACCAATCGTCTGGAGATGCGGTCGCCACACTACCCAAGCCATCCAGGCGAAGCTCGGGTGAAATACCCCAGCAAAGAGGGAGAGGAGAGTCAAGGACCAATGTCTTACCGCCATTGTCTCCAAGACAAGGCGAAGACAGCCCCGGACCTTTATCCTCGTCCAGTTCAAGTTCAGACTCTGATGAAGAATCCAACCGGCCGCAGTATAGGCGGTACGGAAAATTCTCCATGGTCCAGAAACGAGCACCACCCAAGGATGAAGAGGAACAAGACGAAGAGGACTCTCCTGCTTTTCTCCCGCTTGAATCTATACATGAGACAGGAAAAACTACATCTCATAGTGACCCCGCAGCGACATTGCGCGAAATGCCTCAACAACTCAAGCATCAAGGCCGACAAGTATCAGGCGGCGTCACTCCGCTAGCAAAGACAAAGCAAGATCTGCCAGAATCATCCACAACGAGCTCAAGTTCTGGCATGGCAACGGGATCCCCTGCCAACGAGCCGTCCACTTCCCGCCGCCCCACTGGCCCAGTGGGGCCGCTCAGCCCACGCAGAACTGCAGAGCTGTCTGGACGAAGCCCTCATGGACGTGGCAGTGAAGGTACTCCTAGCATGGGAAGCAGTTTTAGCGATTTGGATGGTACGTTGTAATTATATCGATCAGACTCAAGCCTCCAGTCCTCTCACTTTTCTTCCCTTCTTTCCAGTTACTCAGTTTGGCAAGTCGAATACTAACTTTTATTCTCTTATTGTTTGATAATGCATAGATGCCAGCGTTTCGCAGTCTGCATTAGAAGAAGCTCTGTTGAGCAACATGCGTAGTGGCGTTACCAGCCGGATGAGTACCATCAGCCAGGCCCTACGAAGCAGATATCTGTGATATATCTCTCTCCCTGGTCAACAATATCATGGCTGACTGCTGACTATGCATCTAAACGATCTACCACAAGGATATCCAGCGATGCTCTTTGTTGATATTTTGGCTGTCTTACAGACTCATTTTTGGGTCATACCAGTAACTACCCCGGATCCAAACGTTCGACTTTCAAATCCGACTGGATCCACCCATGGCCATGCCTACCTGTCACTCCCAAACTAAAACTTTGGGGCGGACTTCATGAACAGGATGTAGCTCAGCTGACTCCGGCGCTTAACTCAGCTGAGCGAAACTTTAATAGCCTCATTCATGAATGCCCATCTTGTAGCGGTTAAGGTTCCGCGTACTCCCCCCAATCCCCTTTTCCTCCCTAACTAACCCCACTAAAGCCAAACCCTGACCCTGACCTCAGCCTTACTAGAGGAAAAGAAGGAGCTTTGGAACTGTACGAATAATCGGTTTTCCTCTAGGTTTGACATCTCCGATAACCCACCAATCTCATGTCCTGAGATATTGGACTGAATATCTAGGTATAAAAGACTATTGATTGATTGCCTTTGACCTTGGCGGAGATACCAATTTGATTTGGACTCATAGAGCTTATGCATCTCTAAACCCATAGCCTAATGATATTCGATTTTCCGATATGCTTTTAGGAAAGCAAGCCGGTTATCCCCTCCCTTCTGGCACTCGAACGGGTGGCTAGCTGAAAGGCAGTAAACACCATGCATTTCCTCCGGTAGATGGACGAATCTATAGCACTCCATGTCTTTCCATCATGCATTGCATTGTTGTTTGAGGCGGGGTCTCTTTTAGATACGTCAATATTGATATGGAATCTTCACGGTACATACCCAATCAACCCGTGTCCTTCATCTGGAGAGCAGATACACCTCCACATAACAATGTCGTCGGCCAGCAGCGTCACGAAAGGCATAAATAGGACCTTCGGCCCCCCTCGAAGAAAATTTCACCAACCCAAAGAAACCCATCGCATTGCCTAGCAAGTTACAATAAGGTCTAACTACCACTTTCCAACCAGTCGAAGCCCGCTTCCCACCATGAAGTTCTCTGTTGCTATCCTCACCATCCTCGCCGGAGCTGCTATTGCTAAACCAACATGCTCCTCTAATTCCATTGACATCGTGGACTCGGACTACAAGCAAGCCTATCACGACCTCCACAAGGAGTACACTTCCGCCATCCGCGAATCTGGGGCCTCCAATCAGTTCAGGGCCCAAGGCTGCTGCGATAGAACTCCGTGCTTTGTTGGATGTTTTGTCAACGGCGTTTGGCAGGTGAGTGTTTATCAGGTTGCGAGTATGTTCTGAACCAGCTATGATTGCTGACTTATCTCGCAACGTTAGTTCTGCTGCTGAAATTAGGATCCATTTACTTCGGTATTTCGGTTAAACGCCCTTTCGACATACCAGTCCAGAGTTGCTATAGGACCTAGTTATGCATCAAACCGGTTGTTGCATGACTAAATCTCTTTGCCAATTTCTTGCACTCTGTCAACGAAGTGTGGAGTACGCTCATTACGATTCTCATGATTTTTTAGTCTATTTCTTATCAACAATATCAAAAGGCCTTTTATACTAAACCTCCTGCCCCTTTTCCCAGACCAGTAAACTCTTGCTTAGTCAGCAATCACATCTGTGAATTAGCCGAGGCATAACTTTAATGCCGGCCGTCCCAAAAAAGTAATCCAAACCTCCAGAAAAACATCCAGCAAGACTTGAGGACATTCAGTTATTGTCAGTAATTAATATACAATCTTTGTCATTTATTGCGATAGCATGCTGGGTTCGCTGTGAGAATTTTCTTCTTTTTTCGCTATTGAGTGTCCTACGGTCGCATTCCCCGACGGCCTTTTGCCGTGCCCCGCCAATGACAAGATATACAAAGTAGGATCTGGAACCGCTAAGAATAAATCGCCTATATATAAAGAACTCGCCGAAGAGGAGGAACCATCATCTTTCCAATAACTACAGACGGAGACAAAGAGGACTAAACAGCAGTTACAGTACATCCACCGAGTTTGACGTCGCCACTCTGTTTGGCGGTTCCGTACCAACTATTGTTATATCCTGGACTATATAAACCATCGCTCTCATGTCTCAAGCAGCTCATATAGCTTCATCAACGCAGACTCTGACCCCGGAGGAAGCCGAGTCTTACTACTTTAAAATCAATCCGCCACCCCCCTCGTTGCAGGAGCATCATGACCTGGCAAAGGAGTTCATAGATAGACATGTCCAGACGGGCCGAAGATTGGTTCTAGTCACCTCCGGGGGAACAACAGTACCCCTTGAGACACAGACCGTCAGATTTGTGGATAACTTCTCTGCTGGTACCCGTGGAGCTACTTCTGCAGAGTACTTCTTGCAAGAAGGATATGCAGTGATCTTCTTACATCGACAGTTCAGCTTACTTCCATACTCGAGACATTTCAGCCATTCAACCAATTGTTTCCTTGATTTTATGGATGAAGGGGCCTCCTCTTCTGATTCTTCAGGCACCAATAATAATGGAGACGGTCCTATTATTGTCCGATCTGAATACCAGGATGAAATGCGCAAGGTTCTGCGACAGTACCGATATGCGAAGGATAACAACCTCTTACTTGTCCTTCCCTTCGTTACGGTGACGGAATACCTGTATGAACTCCGATCACTTGCCAACCTGATGAAACCTCTCGGGCCCAATGCCCTTTTTTATCTTGCCGCTGCCGTTTCCGACTTCTTTATCCCTCGTGATAGGATGGTAGAACATAAGATCCAATCATCCAATGAACCGGTTACCAATAAAGAGAAGTCAACGGAAAAGGCGAATTCTGATATTGATCCCGACACGATCTATACTGGATTCAATGACCCAAAGCCCCCAACGCATGGTAAAAAGCTAATTATCGACCTTGACCCCGTTCCTAAGTTCTTGCACCGGCTGGTTGATGGCTGGGCACCGACAGGCAGTATGGTGGTCAGTTTCAAGCTTGAGACAGATCCTGATTTACTTATATCGAAGTCTGAGCAAGCGTTACAACGATATGCACATCATATGGTTATTGGTAACCTGCTGTCAACTCGAAAATGGGAGGTTGTATTTGTGAGTCGGGACAAGACGACCGGCAAGTTTGGATTGGAGTGGGTTCGCGTTCCAAAGTCAACCACGAGAATGAGAAAGGGGAGCGTTGCTGCTAGTGGAGGCACGGCTCAACCCCAGCCTGAAGTTGAAATTGAGAGTTTGATTATTCCGGAGTTGAAGAAGGCGCATACTGAGATGATTGAAACTTTTAGAAAATCCCACGAATCGAAGTAGACAGGGAGTGGCACCGTGGATTCAATATGTATCGGATATAAATGTTCGCTATACTTCACCCGTGTAGTTATATAAATATTCCGTTGAGGTTCAGTGTTTGGTATAGCATTTTGATTACTTATCTTCTATAATTGTGGTAGGTAAAAATAAGTGTGGTCCGGTCTCTTTAGCTAATGATAGTTCCCCAGCCGTATCGTCTTCCAAATCTATGAGTGTAATGACAATGTCCCTGAATTTTACTTCAATGGTGGCGCAGATGGGTCTTCCATGCACTGATCAACACGCATAATGCGCCTCCCAGACTTTTTGACTAGTTGGAATACTTCTCTGAAGTAGGAGATAGTGGTAGGATTAAGATAGTGCATGACAGCAATATCACCACCTTTTTCTAAGTCTCTCTTGAAGGCCTCCAGTTGCTTCTCAGGAGTTGGAGAGCCAGCCCATAACCAATCTTCAATATCCACACTCCAGTTGATGATGTATGGGTCAGTAACCAAGGCTGCAAGCCTTTGTCGAGTTCGAGCGCCCACATTGCCGAAGGGAGGACGAAAATAGCGACCTATCAAGGGTTAATTAGTGATAAAATGAATACATAAACGGTGATCACCTACTCTCAATGCCTAATTTTTCTTTGAAAACCTCCATATTCTTTTTAAATTCTTCATCGATCTTCTCTGTAGTTGGCAGGCCTTCCATCCTATATATCGTCAACTTGAATTCTGTCGATATGTCCAGGAAGCCACATACATGGGATGGGAGTATGTATGAAGAGCAACCTGGTGTCCACGGTCCAACATATCCTTGTATACATTTGTAAAGTTTGCAGCCTCATCTAACAACCCGTTACCGACGGTGAAGAAGGTAACTAGGATATTTTCTTCAGCTATCATTTTCATGACCTCCTGAGCATATTGTGGCTGTCCGTCATCAATACCAAAGGCAAATGAGTTCGGTCTCTTGCATCTCAATGCCAGAGTGCCAGTCGGAAGCTTGTCGGGTAGCTTTATACCCTTCGGAAGGGATGAAACAATCTCAACCTTGAACAAGGTAACATCTTTTCTCGTATAGAAGCCGTGAAAACCAATCGAGTTGGGTCTCATAAAGTCAATGTAGAAATGAGAGAGGGGAACATAGATATGACCTCCTCTAGAATATCGCGAGGCCTCGACCGAATCCCATGTTTCAGGGAACGGTGCCCTCTCCTGATCACACTCCGCATTATGCTGCGTTACACTGATAGTGAACTTATCTGACCCCTTGAAGACGACATGAAGATAAGAGTCTTTATAGGCGGTCATGTCGAGACAGCTGGTGGCTATCTGGGTATAGAAGTTCATATCGGCATTTGTGGGGGAAAGGCGTAGGAAATCTTCGCCATATTCAGAGGGCATCCCTTCGTCAACGCCATGCCAGAATCCGAGGTCATTGGTTTCAGGGCTACGGAACGTATCGATCACCAAGGGGTCGTACTTTGCAACAGGAGCGGCGAGAGAGGAGTTGGCGTTCATCAGAATGACGCTGCTGATGGCCATTGATGCCAGGAGTTGGAACCAATTTGATGGCCCCATTGTGGGCGGTATCGATTCACTATCTGCTAGATATACCGAATAACCTGAATATACACTGAATGATAAGGGTAACCAAGAGTTAATGCTTTGCAAGGGCTTTCAGCGCTGGATATTGATTCATTGCATGAAGTGGTTGTTGATATCCCATCCACAAGCCTGGAATCTTGACTGGATTTCAGAAGGAAGACTCTTCATTGCAGAAAGAGCTGATGGGGCACTGCCCAGGTAGAAAGCATCATCCATAGGAAAATACTATGCCTATAATTGATATAGTACAGTGGGTTTTAGTTGTCGATCATGGGCTGTTGAGTGTTGATGGTAAGATGTTGTAGTGTCTCGGCCGGGATCCCCTGTTCAGCTAGTTAGTTAGTTCGTTGAGCTAGGTTGACGATCCCCGGAAAGATGGCATGTTTTTGTTGATCAACCAAAGAGAATAACGTATATTTGAAACATTCACTGAGAACACCATATGATAGAGAAAGAGTCTGGATTTGCATCCTAAACTAACTACCTAACTAGCAACCTAGATCATGCAGTTGTTCTCTATTCTTTTTTTTTTTAGAGTTAGAGCACTGAAATAACAGATGTTTTTGGTATTTTGTATGACACCATGGACACCACCCTGCCAGCAACTTGAACTTGTTGCTCCCTATACATAAACAAGGCGACGTAGACTGCAGTTAAGTAAGGGAGCAACAAGCGTAAGCGGGAGAGACGACTTAAGCCGGCAGGGCGGTATCCATGGTGTATAGTTGTAGGGTAAGAATATATGAACAAGTCTGGCCGATATTTTTTTTGGTTGGTTTTGTTGGTGTTTAGTAGTTAAGGGACTTGTTCTGATAATTTGTTTGTGTTGTTATGCGTTGGAAAGAGGACATGTTGGCTGATGGAAATGGATCAAGCGAAACCGGGCTTGACGAGACGATGCAAAAGGGATAGCACTGGTAATGGTGGTATCGGCATGAACCGTCGTTTACCATTCACCATCAGCAGGACCACTGCCCCAACCACCTTGGGTCTCTGCCTCAGATTTGCCATTAGCAGCCTCAGCGAAGCCTGCAGCAACTGAAGGAAGGGCGGCAGCGCCCCAGCCATCGTCACCAGCATTGTCGTCATTACCGGCTTCGTCATCGGTATCGTCGTTGAAGTCAAGCACACCGTCTGGTGGAACTTCGCTCTGCAAAAAGTCAGGAATGACTTGCTTAGATTCGACGAGGATCTTGACCAGGTCGCTAGCAATATCAGAGTTCTTGTCGTTGTAGAAAGAGGTAGCTAGACCTGGGTTGCCGATACGCGCAGTGCGGCCTGTAACATTATTTTAGCATTAGAAGGACTTGTATTGGGAAGAAGATATCTTACCAATGCGGTGAATGTATTCGTCAATACCGCCGTGGTTAACGGAGGGCAAGTCGTAGTTGACAACGTGCATGACATTCTTGATGTCAAGACCGCGAGCAGAGACGGCGGTGGCAATCAGAATTGGAGACTTTGCAGTCTTAAAGGCACGGCTACTGGATGTCAGTATAACTATATGCAAAAAGAAGCATCGAATACTAACATGGCATCTTCACGTTCACGCTGGGTACGGTCCGAGTGGATGGAAGTACTAGGCAATCCCATGTTGAACAAGAAATCATCGATCAAATCAGCCTGGGTCTTGTTGTTGACAAACACGATGGTACGGGATGGAGGCATAGCCATCAACAGATCGTAGAGACATTTCTTCTTCATGTTTTCTTCAGCCCAAACAAACTATGTTCTATTAGTAGTGACAATGAAATAATTATAGAGGCGCGTAACATACTTGCTGAGTGACGTTCAAATGAGTGCTGCCAACACGGCCAATGCGGATTCGAACATAGTCGTTGGCCAGGAACTTGCGAGCAACCTGACGACAGCCCTTGTTGAAGGTGGCAGAAAACATCATATAACGATGATCAGCATCCTCATTAACATCTATGTACGCGTTAGTACCTCATAAATCAATATGCAAGACGCGATACATACCTCCACCGGCAAGGATCTTAGTAAACTCGACGTCCCAGTCGGACTTGAGAAGTTCATCGGCTTCGTCAATGATGGTGTAGCGAACGCGGCAGAGAGAAAGAATATTGGGCTTCTCCATAAAGTCGATAAGGCGACCGGGAGTAGCAATCAAGATGTCACAGCCTTTCTGGAGCTCCATGCGTTGGTCACGACTAGGCCCACCTCCGTAGATAACGCATGGGCGTAGCATTGAGCGATAGCAGAGACGACGTGCCTCATCAAAGATCTGGGTAGCCAACTCACGGGTTGGAACAACAATAAGGACAAGTGGTTCAGCTCGAACGGCATCCAAGCTCTCGTTGAAACCGTTGCCCAGGTCCGGACGGGGAGCAGCGAGCTTCTTCGCTTTCCCCATAAGCTTAGACAAGACAGGGATCAAAAAGGCGGCAGTTTTTCCAGATCCTAATGCTGTCAGAGATATATTTAAACGTGAATATAAATGTCTATCATACCAGTCTGAGCGACTGCAATCAAATCATGACCAGTCAGGACAGCGGGAATGCAGTAGGCCTGAACAGGGGTAGGAACAATATAGCCGCAAAGCTTGATGTTGTTTAGCATGATAGGATGCAAGCCAGCATCCTCGAACTATATACGTGTTAGCACCGCACATATATGTGTAATAATTGGTACGTACACTCTTGATGGGATCAGGACGCTCAGTGGTTTCAGCAGTGACTTGGATTTGGCGAATGCTGCAACAATAAAAAGCGTCAGCAAGGTAAAGACGTAGATTATCCAAGTGATACGCGGGTAGACATACTTCTCAAGTAACTTGCCAACGCGAGGAATATACTCATCCTTGAAAAGCATCTGCTCAAGCTCTTCGTTTGGAGGACCAATATCGCCATATTCTTCCTTCCACTCATACTTGGCCGAGTTAGACGCCCATGGCAACGCATCAGCATAGTCATCACGGTTCAGAGCGTTGTAAGCCTCGTAGTTGTAGCGCTGAGGCACAACCCAGCCCTTCTCGCGAGCCATGGCGGCCGCCTCTTCGGCCTCAGGAAGAGCGTCGGCGACATTAGACATGTCCTCGAGCGGTCCTGGAGGCATGACGATAGCCTCTGTAGCGCTAGCAACAGACATGTTGACGGTGGGCTGTTACACGCGCTGATACCTGATATCAAGGGTGAAATCAGCCCTCGAGACGCGTCAAACTGGTCAACTCAGGCAAGGAGACTGAAGACGTACCGAAGAAAAAGAAGTACAGCAGGTGCCTCGAGAGCCAAACCTGGTTCAGTATCTGATGCAGAGTTGGTGTTCCAGTAGAGGACACAGTCAGGGTGATAAAATATGAAGAAGCTGAGAAACACAGAAAGTCCACACAATATGGAGAAAAACAATAACAGAAGGAAAAGAAAAAAGAAGAAGAAGAAGAAGAAGAAGCAGAAATTTCTTCCTTTTTTATATCCTTCGCCGAGAAGCGGCAAATTTCTTCACTTACAAAGCACAGTTTCTGTCCTGGAGAGCAGAAGAGGACGCAATGCGGGTGGTGATAGAAGATATAGAAGAGGACATGACAGAGGAAGGGTGTGATATCATTCAATTTTGGCATCTTTGGGAGCAGCATGCAGAAAAAGACAAGACGAAAGCCTAGTTATTATAACTTGAGAATCTCTTTTGCTTCTCATTTCCTGGCTGCATGGATAGCTACATCTGCTTCTGCCTGCTGGCATAAAGGGAGATAGATGTATATGCAAACAGACCACCAGGAGAAAGACATGGACGGGATGCTGCAGGTTCCTGATGGCCTCTACTGGTACCAGGTATAAATAGTTATCCCTGGGCGGCTCATGGATGCTCTAATTGATATGTTCATCCTCATAGGGAGGTATTGATATTTTGATATCTGACATCTGATATCCATAGTTGGTAGAGCAGCGGGTGGCTCTCCAGCCGGGTATCAGCCTGGTTGGCAGGGATGGAAGAATCCCACATCACCCATATATATCTTCCTGTCTTTGGTATCTCAATATATCAACCACTAGTTACTCGCACGATAAAATAGCAAAAGTTGGACCTTGAAAAGATACAAAAAGATGAAGTTGTAGTTGTGGTTGTGTTTTTGATGGCCCTTTTTGGGATATTTTATATTGTATTTTTGGTATGGGATGGTGAAGTAGACGGGTCTTTTTATTGGTCGAATGTGGTAAGCTTGGTTATATTGTGTATGGTTGCTTGTAATCTATTAATAAGCAGTAAATTTCCTAAAAAGGGCAAGTATTAATTAGTCATGCATAGTAAAATCATGTGATACAGTTAAGAGTAGTAGAATAAGTATTAGTCATGGTTCTCCTTTTCCAAGCGCCAACACTTTATCAAGGGGTATCTAATACCCAGACTCCAAGATTAATCAATGACATGGTAGATAAAATGATATTCATTATATCATACGATTCATAGAGTCAAGTATTTATTTGTGAGGTAACATATTCGGTTTTCGGACTCGTCAACTATAAGCAATATTCACATAAACCCATACGATCAGGAAACTCTTTCTAGTCCTCGTTCTCCATGTCATCATCATCTTCCTCGTACTTGTCGTCTTCCTTGTCTTTTTTCTCTTCCTTCCCACCACCCTTCTCCTTTCCATCATCAGTACCCTGTTTCTCTTTGCCTTTGTCCAACTTGTCATCTTTGCTTGTGTCATTCTTGGGCACGTCACCGCCGTTCTCGATCTTCTTGTTATCCTCTGGTTTATCGGGCTGCTGCTTTTCCGGCTTCCCCTGCATGCCTGTCTGCTTTCCATTGAGCTTGTCTCCTTTGGGCTTATCACCAGGCGGCATGGGGTTCTCGACCATGACAAACTGGCCCATACTAGGCACTCCGTCCACAACAATATAGATAACGTAGGCACCAGGAGGAGCAACATTCGAGTCAGGAGGCATGGTAACTTCAATAACCTGCTCACTTTGACCAGCCTTCCAGCCTGTGTGATCGAGGTAAAGCATTCGGTGGCCCATGTGCAGTGAGTGGGTGACAAATCCACCCTGGTAGAGAACAACATGGAGCTCAATGGCCTCTTTGTGGACGTTGAACTTTACAGTAAAGTTTCCACCGTTAGCAACTAGATGTCTGCTGGACAAAATAACATTAAGTGGCCTCTGATCCGCTTTCTTGCCGCTGAGATAGTGTGGAACATAGACTTCAACTCGAAACTCGGTAACGTATGCTGTCTTGGGGTCCTTGGGGTTTGGAACAAGCACAGGCTGCTCAACCGGATTTGATCCTGCAACCATCACTGTTCCGTCTAGTAACAGTAAGGCGACGGAGTGATACATGCGTGCAATTGTGCTTGACCCACCCACGGCCCAGCGTTCGACATTGGAAGCGCGGGGGTTATATATCCAGGGGTCATATACTGGGTCCTTTGCGATGCCAAATCCTTGCGCACCGCGACTGCAGCCATTCAACCAGATAATTGTGCCGTCTGGTAGCAACGTACCCTCCACCATGACCCTTCCACTAGGCATAGACTCAACATCCCAGGTTGGATTCTCGGACAGGGGCTTTATGCGTCCGCAGCTAGCATCAGTAGGGCTATTGATGTCAGGGTAAGCGCCTCCTCCACATATCATGATTTCAGGCTCCCATCCGTTGGCAGAACTCAAAGGGAACATGACACTTCCTCCTGTGTTCGGATAGGTCCTAAAGTCACCACGAAGGTCTGGGAGCGTCTTGACAATGGTATCTGTCTCGACATTGAAGATCTGGGCAGACTTTGAAACGAAGACGAAGAGATTTCCATCCTTGAGAAGGTGAAGGAAAGGGTACATGTAATAAGGCTGATTCTTCTCCAAGATAGACATGACTATGCTGTCGCCATGGGGATAACCTTCGCGGTCCAAAATTTCATATGTGGGATTGTTATTGTCCGAATTAGTCGGGTTCAGTCCGTTTAAGCTGCCAGAGGCAACAAATATTTTCCCATCAGGCATAGTCTGTACAGAGGGATACCAGCGGGCGGTGGATAAAGTGTGACCAGGCTCGATCCATCCTTCTTCACCCTTTGGGTCATCAAACTTGCGCTCGAGATATCTGATTCCCTTAAACCCATCTTTGACGGTTGGGTCTATGAAGTTCAGCGGGCCATTCCCACCGACAGACAGAGCACGACCATCAGCTAGAACGGTTCCACCAGCACAAAATGCATTCGTCTGTACAATTATTAGTACAGAACTGGACGATGCGTGAACCAGGACATACCTTGTATTCTAAGGCCACAACTTCGTTGGTAACTGGGTCATACTCCGAGGAATAAGCAAACTGTCCATTGGGCAGAATTAGTTCTGTATAGTTCTCGATCTTGTCCGCGAAAACGACTTTCCCGTTAGGCATGAGGATGGCCATCATGGCAGGAACTCCGGACCTCCCGACGGTTGTGAACTTTCCGGGAATCTTGAATGGATGGTAGCTTAGAGGAGCAATCGGTTTCAACGCAGGCCCGTTTATGCATGGGCCAGACTGGCATCCCAGCCCGCAGTGGGCAGTGCTGTTACCACAAAACTGGGGACGGTTGGTCAGCGAACAAACAAACAGTAGTAGAAAGTGGTAGTACGTACGCCATAGGGAGAGCAACAGGGGCCAAATGACCAGTCTCCGCAGACGGTATCTCCATGGCTTGAGCCGCATGTTCCGTCAGTGGTAACATTTCCGGTAGGGCTAGACGGCTGAGAAGGTTGGGGTTGAATGGTGCTAGTGGGAGTAGCGGAAGCAGTTGAAGCAGGGAGCTTCATTCTGTTAGTGCCGGTGATAGACACCGTTGGCTTTGGGCGGAAATGGGGACGCCAGAAGGGCCTTCGTAGGTACGGACGAGCAGCTTTTTGGGCCACATCGCCGTCATCAATCAGATGCGAGGGATGTTTCATGAAGCAGTCTACCGCTATGCCGGCCTCTCCTTCACCGGCGCCTCCACGGCATTTGCCTGGCGCATACTGAATCTCCGAGTCTCTCTGGACGACCTCAACAGTAGCATCAAGCTGGGGAGGCTGGATCTCATCCTCTGGACGATGACTGCTCTCACATTGCCCGTGCCGAGAGCACCGCTGGCCGCGCAGACAGCCCTGGAATGCCGGCAGGATAGGATCGCAGGAGAGCGGCGCATGCTTAAAGATGATGTGCGCCTCTGCCACGCAGACAAGCAGCGCCAGCAGGATTCCCTTCATCATGAGAGCTCGGTATCACCCTTGCAGCTGGTATCTTGAAGCTGTTTGTTCTCTTCAAGCCCGGCATTGCCGTCGTCCATGGTATCAAATTGTCAACAGCCAGCGCCGTGGCAGGCACTTTTCACCCGCGCAGAAAGCGAGTCTTTGGCCCGGGAAACTCCGCCCAGTCACCGTCGCCGCCATCTTCACCGCAGTCACAGCATTATCTCGTAGAGAAAGGCCGTAGTAGCTGTAGTAGCTGTAGATAGTCGACGTCGATATTCGCCGGTGGTAGGGAGTAGTTAGGTAGGAGGCTAAGTTAACTAACTGTCCGGAAGCGCGGTCGAGTTGATCCTCGGCGGAAAAAAAGGCGCAGAAGGAGAATTACGCCGTAAGCGTGGGCACGACAGCCTCGGATCCTCTTCCAAGGTGCAACAAAGACGCCGCCGCCCGAGGAGCCAGCGAGCAGGAATAAAAAGGACCCCCGGACGGAGCCAGAGCCAGAGCCAGGACGCCTCAATGCCCATGCGACCGCACCACCGTCTGCCCCCGAAACATCATGTCTGCCGCGCCAGGATCCTGTGCGGGTGTGGAGTCCGCTGCCTCGCGGCGCCGGCGAGCGCAGACGGAGAACGATGTCTCTGTTGAGCGCCTGCGCGAGACCATCTCGAACCCGGGCTCGGTCAAGATCAATGTCAAGGGTGCCTTTATCCTGGACGACGAGGAGCGGGCTGCTGCCCATGGGCGCGACGATGCCGACGGCGTCCACTACGAGCACAAGGATATTCGCCTCCCGCACCACACAGACGTGGTCAGCCATGTGGCCGTCGATGTGAGTCTGCTCTGCTCTCTGATACTGTGTGATGGCAGTGAATACTGATGTTGACTGTGTAGATTGGCGGAACCCTGGCGAAGCTCGTCTACTTTTCTCCCGAGATAAGCCAGTCTGGCAGCGGTGGTCGGCTCAACTTTATAAATTTCGAGACAAGCCGGATAGAGCTGTGTATAGATTTCCTGAAGAAGCTGAAGGAGAACCATATGAAGAGGAATGGCTCGGCTCCGTACGAGCTCTGTGTCATGGCTACCGGTGGAGGCGCATACAAGTTCTACGACATGCTCAAGGATGCGCTGGGGGTTAACGTGCTAAGGGAGGACGAGATGGAGTGCCTGATCATAGGTGTGTGATGTGATCCTTTCTTGCCATATGCCATTTGGAGAGAACCTTGGGCTAACGAGTGAGTGTAGGACTCGACTTCTTTATAACGGAGATCCCGAACGAGGTGTTTACATACAGCGAGACAACCCCCATGCAGTTTGCTGAGGCCAGGGCGGACGTATACCCATATCTGCTGGTGAACATAGGCTCCGGTGTCTCCATGGTCAAGGTCTCCGGTCCTCGACAGTTCGAGCGAGTAGGCGGAACTTCACTTGGCGGGGGGACGTTCTGGGGGCTCATGGCCCTCCTTACCGGTGCTCGAACCTTCGATGAGATGCTAGCCATGGCCGAGCGAGGAGATAACAGCGGAGTCGACATGCTCGTGGGCGACATCTACGGCACAGACTACGGCAAGATCGGGTTGAAGAGCACGGCCATTGCTAGTACATTTGGCAAGGTCCTCAAGCTGAAGCGGCTGGAGGAACGGAATGCTGAAAGTAGCGGCAGCGAATCGCCGACTTCAGAGCAGGACATTTCTCATTTCTCCCACGAAGACATGAGCCAGAGTCTTTTATTTGCTATAAGGTGCGTGTGCTTCAAAAACCAGTCCTTACTCTGGTCAGCAGGTCAACTAACAGCAACAGTAATAATATCGGGCAAATCGCATATCTACAATCTGAAAAACACAAGATCAAACACATATACTTTGGAGGCTCATTCATCCGTGGCCACCGCCAGACCATGAACACCCTTTCCTATGCTATTAGATTTTGGTCCAAGGGAGAGAAGCAGGCCTACTTCCTGCGCCATGAGGGCTATCTGGGTGCCGTCGGGGCGTTCCTCAAGCGCCAGCCACAGCATTGGGGTCGCAGAAACAGTGTCGAGAATGCCACAGCAGCTCGCTTCAACCAGAGAGAAGGATTATCCGGCTAGATTGGGATTGGCATCCATGCCGTCCTCGTGCTCGCCAGCCCCTTTTTATCCATACCCAGTTTCCTACGTAGAGACATAGTTTAGCCCAGTTAGGCTCTATAGATATATACGTCTCGTGTATAAATATACATCATCTATCTCTTCCATCGCTCCATAGGCCCCCCTTATCCACAGCCCATCTCCATCCCTATCTCCATCCCCAGCCCCGTCCGCTCGCTATCAGCAACGATCGACAGCCAAAGAATAGGAGATTTAATTTGATATCATCACGTGACTATGACGTTTGCCCCAATCGGGAAATATCAAGAACTTCACGTCGGGGCGAAAAAGCTGCAGGCAAGGCGGAAAAGACAACCCGACAGACAGACAGACAGACAGACAGACAGACAGTTGAAGGGCTTGCTCTTGTCGACAGCCATGCCATGAGCAGACGGTGACGAACTGCATCTCCGCTCTCCCCTGGAGCCTGTCATGGCTAGTAGCCGCTCGCCTCGCCCGTCGACTCCCTCGCTCAAGTCGCAGCAGCCGCCCAACTCACCACCTACGCTCGCTGCTCCCGTCCCGCCCCCAGTCCCCGTCGAGACACATCCGAATCGCGCTGGTATCAAATCTCGGCCTGTACGATACCTCTCGCCGGATCCAAGCAGGCTTGCGCCGGAAGACGCTTATTTCACTTCGCCTCCGAGGCTACGTCCGGGGAACGTAGCTGCAGGCGCTAGGAGAGATGGCGGAAATACCACGAACGAGACCGCGCGGCTGCTCAACAGGAGTGTTGCGACTCCAGCGGCGGTAGCGGCCTTGAGGATTCCGCCTGCGGTGCCTGGATTGGAGTCGAACCCTGTCAAGGATCGCCGGAGAGATCGAGGTCGTCGCAAAAGAAAGGGACAGTGGAAGAAGCTTTTATGGGTCAAGCAGTCTTGTATGACGCTCCGCAGCCCTTCAGCTAGATTCCAAAGAACCGGGTATACTAACGGATTATTTTTGATATAGATCCTGATAACTATACGGACACTGAGACGTTTCTCGATCATTTACAGCGAAACCCTCGGCTCCAACCGTATGATTTCTGGCCGCTGGTGGCTGATTTCACCGTCATCGTACAGCATGTCTGCTCCGTTATTATATTCGTCTGCTGTTTTACTGTCATCTTCCAGGAGCGTGTCAACCCGATAACTGTGGTCAGCTGGGGAAGTATTTGCACCGTCCTCGGCTGGGTACTCTGGGACTACTGGGTTGCAAAGGAGGGCATGGAAGCCGCAGAGGCCATGGAAGCTATGAAGCTACTGAAGGAGTCTAGTGGAGCTGCTCGTAACCACTCTACCTCCAGCTGCAGCAACTCGGAGAGCTTGGATGGGAAGGAAAACGATGTGAACGGTGGTCTTGGACTGTCGCTGGATACGTCTAGTGTCGGCAGCGTACCCAGCAGAGAAGGCTCAGATTCGGGTTCAGGAACACGCTCTCACTCCATCAGCACCTCCGCAACATCTTTGCACTCAGATCAATCTGCTACTCTCTCACTATCCCCGGTTTCGTTGAACCCTGCGGACTGCGCACTCGGGTCCAAGTCAGACACCTCTTGCACCAAGTCCTCTGGTGCAACTACTCCGCCATCACCACTACAAGCATTCTCGCCAACAGCAGCGTTTATAGCATCACGACACCGACAAATGTTCACCACCGTGAAATCCGCCCTATTAATATTCTGCACCTTGCGTGGCCTTAGCCCCATACTTAAATCACTCACCAAATCAACAACCAGCGACTCAATCTGGGCTATGAGCTGCTGGCTAATGGCCATCAACATCTTTTTCTTTGATTACGGATCTGAAGAGAAAAATACCCCCGTTGGCGGTGCTGCTACTGCCAACTTTCCCGCCTCTCTTTCCACCAATGCAGCTTTGATGGCATCCACCGTGCTCGCGTCCCGCCTAAAGTCTACTTCTCACGTCTTCAGCCTTACCCTCTTCTCAATAGAAGTTTTTGGACTCTTTCCTGTCTTTCGTCGCCATTTACGGTCTTACTCGTGGCGCGGACATGTGGCACTCACTGTAGCCTTGGTTCTGTTGGCTAGTGCATCTGTTGGCATCACGCTGAGAGGGGGTCTTTCGGGTGCCATCATTGGTATCCTCATAGGAAGCCCGTCAACCGCCTTAATAATGGGCTGTTGTAGCTGGTGGCTCATCAGTCTCCAGCGGTATAAAAATGTTGTCATCGGGCCCTGGGATCCAGCAAAGCCTATCATACGACGCCATTGGGACTGAAAAGTTAACTTTCATTTGTTTTTCTCTTGACTGTGAAGGTATAAAAGGATTGCTTACATAGACCTCTTGTTTGCTTTCTCATTTGATGTCTTCATGACCTGCGGTTTTGAGCGTTTTTATCAAGTCGAGGCGTTTATCTGGCCAGGGAAGGCTGTTGTGGTGCATTTCCTATTGCTGTCTTCTGCACATAACCCTTTAGTAATACGTATATAGTGTAATGAATCCGGCATCAACCCGCTTTCCTACTTATCTTCGTTTCGAATATCCTTTAGCAGAAAAAATATAATAAATAGAATAAGAAGGTATAAAAAACGGCACCAAAAAGGGGTAAAGGGGAGGGTGATGTCATTGTTTAGGGAGACGCGCTTGTGCCATGTGACGTCGCGTCTAACTTGCGGCACGCGCTTCGATGACATTTCCGAGACTCGAACATCTCAGACGCTCAAACAACCTCACTTCACGACGGCCATTCAATTCTTTTCTGCTACGTTCTTTTGCAGCGTTCACTCGTTTGTCATTTTTCATGCGATGCTTCAGTTTACCCGCGACACAGCAATTTACCCCTCAATACCTAGCTCTCCGCCAGCACTGACATGATAGCAAGTCTCAATTTTTTTTTTTTTTTTATCCTGCATCTTCTTCGATGATCTTCGCAGGGCACTGCACTTTCA